ACAAAAAATCGCAAAGAGCGTACTGGGCAAAAAAAAAGGAGAGCAATGATTACCTTAGCCGAAAACCGCAAGGTGACTAAGGTAATGTTCTTCTAGAAGCATGCAAGCTTCGCATAGTCTTCGCTTCAGGCTTGAGCATCTCAACTAAAGCGACTAGGAGAACCAAAGAGACAGATGTTAGGGACATGATTGTTATAGCTTATACAGTGTAGTCAACCTTGGCCAGTCATGCTTCTAAATCCCTTTGGAAACCCCTTTGTAAAAATGAACCATTTGTTTAGATCAATAAAATCGTCTTTTACTTCTTTTCTCTTGACCAAATTATGAAAATGCCTCTGTATTAATGAAACATGAGCATGCATAAAGAACCAATACAAGAAAGCATAAGAAAAGAAAAGAAAAAAGAAAAATAAAGATAAAAAGAATGATGTCTGCTAGGAGATTCTTAGGCAAAAATTAGGGCAGCCTGCTAGATCGAAAACCCGTAGAGGGCGATTTAGAAAAAAGTTAAGGTACTCATAAAAAGTCCGCTATGATATCCTAGGCAAAAATTAAGGTAACCCGCTAGATCGAAAACCCCAAAAGGGCGGTCTAGGCAAAAGATAGGGCTTAATAAAAAGAAAATGAATAAAAAGAAGAGTTCATTAGCATAATTATGGAAGTATAGCAGGAGAATGCCAGTCACTTTTCTAGATGCATCAAATAAAAATAGATTTCATTTAAGGCATCCGCACAAGTATGTTAGAATCGTGCAGCGGAATGTTCGCATGGTCGGACAAAAACCAAGAGGGGGGGTGAATTGGTTTCTTAACAAAAATTAGGTTTTCAAAATTTTCCCCAAATTTTACCGATTAAAAACTGTGTAAATGTAAATAGAGTAGAGATAGAATCTTACACAGTAGATTTATACTGGTTCGGATCAAAAGACCCTACGTCCAGTTGCTAATCACTCAAATAGAGGATTAACGCTGTCACTATAATCACAGTTGTTACAAACAAAATTACAATGGAAAAGATAAAGTAAAGAAAACACCTCTCTTGAAATCCACAAGAGATGAAGAACAGTTTTCCCTAGAGACGGCACAACACACAATCCACTAAGAACTCCACTTAGTGATTCTTATCGCTTCTAGCCCACACCAGGTTCCAAAAGCCCCTTTTTCTTGCAACAAACAGTTCTCTGACACTCACAGCACTTAACTTTTGTATGAAAAAGTTTGTTCTTCTTTTCTGAGTGCCATAGAGAAGTTTAAGTAGAGAAATTAGGGTTTGAGAATTGGGAATTTCGAAACTAGGGTTCTTGGAAATAGGGTTTTCGAAAATAGGGTTAATTTGAAGTTAAAAATCAAAATCTGACTGAAATAATCGATTAAATGAAGTGTTAATCGATTATTACAGAGCCAAAATCAACAGAACCCCAAAACTCTCTGTTTTAATCGATTAAAAGACTTGTTAATCGATTAACAGGCCTATTAATCGATTAACAGGGGTGTTAATCGATTAAACCAGTGAGCAGATACAGAAAATGGTTTTTCTCACTGTTTTAATCGATTATTTCACCAATTAATCGATTAAAGCCAAGCCTCTTTGATAATTTTGAGCTTTTTGAAGCTTCTAAGGTGCAAAATATGTACCGGCTATCTCAAACTCTAATATTACAGACTCAATCTAATCAAAACAGAGTTATTACACTACAAACAAGTCTTCAACTCTTTTAAGTCTTGTGTTCTTGAATCATCATCAAAATCAACAAGTTTCATGTCCATCAAGTTCAACATCAAGTGTTTGAATGTTCAACAAAGTATTCGTACAAAACGACTTTGTCAAAATCGAAAAACAAAAAATAAAAATTGCCTCAGATAAATAACAAAAAAAAAAAAGCATTCATGCATATAAGGAGACTAGCTCCATATTTATGATTGAAAAACAGAAGGCATCCCAAAAGTTCCCTCCAAGAAAATAGGGACAAGACGTCATCAAAACAGGCAACTCAAAACAGAATAAAAAGTCTCAAGCATTAACCACCATTCTCCCATCAAAGAGAGAAGGCAAACAAGCAAAATGCCCGCCTGCTCAGAGGCATTACCAAAATCAAGAAATCCCCAGCAGTTTTCTGCCTATGTAAAAGGTGTTCAACAAAAATCTCCAACAACTAACAAAGTCGGATGACCATTACCAAAGAGTCCCCAGCACTTAACCAGCTGGAGGAAAACCAACAAATTCCCGGCACACCGGAAGACTTCATCAAAAAAGTTGAAAAACAGAATATCAAGCAAGAAACACTCCCTCTAGAAACAGTGCATGAGCCAGAGCAGTAAGCCCGCTACCACAACTTCATGACAAGGAAGGTCCCGAAGACAAAGACCTGCACACAAGCAAGATCATTGCGCATGAACAAAATCAGTAAGTTGCATCAGTCCTACAAAGTGGACTTCCCAACCAAACAGGGGTTCGTACTCATCAAACCAGATGGGGGTGCGTACTCATCAAGCCATACAAAAAGGGGCTTAAATTGATTTCAACAACCAAACGAGAGTTCGTACTCATCAAACCAGATGGGGGTGCGTACTCATCAAGCCTTACAAAAGGAGGCTTAAACCAGACTTTACAACCAGATGGGGGTTCGTACTCATCAACCAAAGGGGTCAGCTACCGCATCAAAGGAGCATCCTGGAGGATCACACTTAGTGTCCAGAAGGTCGGCTACCACGACAAGGGAAGCAACCGAAGGACAATCGGGCAAGAGGGTTAACTCCTTCACCCTCCAGCCGATCTTTTTGGCATATTGAGCCAACATTCGGCTAGTCAGGTGAAGGGGGGGGGGGGGCAGCTGTACACCTCAAATCTTGCCCGACCTCAAAATAACAAGCAAAAGACTTCCGTTCGAAGATGGGCAAGGCCTAAACGGTCCCTAGAATTGATTAATAGCCCTCATATTAGAATAGGAAGGATTTTTGTACACGAAAAATAAGAAATTCCACCCAAATGGTCGAGACTGCCGTCTCGTTTGGCGAGACTGCCATCTTGTTTGACGAGACCGCCGTCTCACCACTCGCCAAAGGCAAGAACGCCATCTCGCCACTCTCCAAAGGTGAGACCACCTTCCCGTTTGGCGAGACAACGGTCCCAAAATTCGAGACAGCGGTCCCGACCTGACAGGTGCGAATTCCTATAAAAGGGAGGGACATTCACCTCGTTTAAACACAATTATACAACTTCACCTACTGCACAATTCTCAAAATATTCTAGAGTTCTAGAGTTCTTAGGAAGCGTTCTAAAGTGCTTCAAGAGAAGAGTGAGCTGCTTTGTAGAGTTTGAGGTTCGCCAAAAAGCACCCTTTTCCAAGAGCATATTATAAAAAAGCTTGCTTTGAAGGTTCTTCCATACCCCTTTTCTCTATTTTATTGCTTTTTAGATATTATCTATGTGCATTAGTTATTAAGGGTCATGTAGTCGATAACTTAATTTTTGCAATAAATAAATAAGGGTAAAAATATAGTTTTAAAGTTCTTATTTCTTTATAAAAAATGTTCCATCATAGGGAACACGAAAGGGGCGTCGTGAAGAAGTTAATACCTTCCCCACACATAACTAACTCCCTTACCTAACTATGATTGTAATGATGAAAGTTGGTTTTTCTTAAAAACCATTGCCTTCTTTTCTTTTTCCAATGTTTTTGGTAAAAATATTGGTGGTGACTCCTCGAACCCTTTCGAAAACCTCGTCCTTAGGTTCAGTCTGGTTATCAGACAACCTAAAGGCGTTGAACCACACTTTAAAAAATGCAAGTCAAACAAAACCATCGCGTCGCTCCGACCGCCTCTTTTGACGGTGCGACATCCATCATTAAAAGGGATCAACTCTCTAGCTTCCCCAGTGAAGTCGCCATCTGTCGCCGCCGTCAAAAGAGGCGGTCGGAGCGACACGATGGTTTTGATGACTCGCATTATTAAAGTGTGGTCATCACCTTTTAAGATGTCCGATAATCAAACTATCCTAAAGATGAGGTTTTTATAAATGGGTTCTGGAGTCGCCACCAATATTTTTACCAAAAACATTGGAAAGGAAAAGAAGGCGATGATTTTTAAGAAAAACCAACTTTGGTCATTACAACCAGAGTTATATAAGGGAGTTAGTTACGTGTGGGGAAGGTATTAGCTTCCCCACGACGTCCCTTTCGAGTTCCCTATGATGGATTATTTTTGTAAAGAAATAAGAACATTAAAACTATGCTTTTACCCTTATTTATTCATTGCAAAATTTAAATTATTGACTACATGACCCTTAATAACTAATGCACAGAGATATTAACTAATAAAAGCGATAAAATAGAGTAAGGGATATGAAAGAACCTTTGACGCAAGCTTTTTTATAAAATGCTCTTGAAAAGGGCGCTTTTTGGCAAACCCCACACTCTACAATGTAGCTCAGTCTTCTCTCAAAGCGCTTTAGAATGTTTTTTAAGAATTATAAGACTTTGGAAATGCTTAAGAGGGATTCTAGAAGAGTATTTTAAGATATATCCAGTTGGAGAAGTTGTAGAAAACGAGGAGAAGGCCCCCTTTTTATAGAAATTCACATCTGTTAGGTCGAGATCGCTGTCTCGCCTGATAAGGTCGGGACCGCCGTCTCGCCTTTGGCAAGTGGCAAGACGGCGGTCTCGCCTTTGGCAAGTGGTGAGACGGCGGTCTCGCCCTGGGCGAGACGACGGTCTCACCAAACGAGACGGCGGTCTCGATCCTTTGGGTGGAATTTCTTATTTTTGTGTACAAAAAGTTTTTTTGTTCTAATATGGGACATATTGATCAATCCTAGGGACCTTTTAGGTGTTATCCATCTTCGAACGGAAGTCTTCTGCTCTTTATTTTGAGGCCGGGCAAGATTTGGGGTCTACACCCATCCTTAACTTCTTCTCCTTCCCTAACTTCTTCGCCATCCTTAACTTCTTTTTCTCCTTCCTTAACTTCATCTACATCCCAAATTTCTTCTCCATCCTTAACTTATACTCCATCCATAACTTCTTCTCCTTCCTTAACTTCTTCTTCCTCCTTGATTTCTTCTCCATACTTAAATTCTTCTCCATTCCAAACTTCTTCTCCATCCTTAACTTCTTCTCCTTCTTTAACTTCCTCTCTTTCCCTAACTTCTTCTCCTTCCTTAACTTCTTCTCCATCCAAACCATCTTCTCCTTCCATAACATCTTCTCCGTCCATGACTTCTTCTCCTTCCTTGACTTCTTCTCCATCCATAATAATCATCTCTCCCTCCTTAACTTCTTCCCCATCCATAATTTCTTCTTTATCCTTAACTTCTTCTCCATCCAAAACTTCTTCTTCTTCCCTAACTTCTTCTCCTTCCTTCACTTCTTCCCCATCCCAAACTATTTCCCCATCCTTAACTTCTTCTCCTTCCCTAAGTTCTTCTTCCTCCTTGATTTCTTCTCCATAATTAAATTCTTCTTCATTCCAAACTTCTTCTTCATCCCAAACTTCTTCTTCATCCTTAACTTCTTCTCCTTCTTTAACTTCCTCTCTTTCCCTAACTTCCTCTCTTTCCCTAACTTCTTCTCCTTCCTTAACTTATTCTCCATCCAAACCATTTTCTCCTTCCATAACATCTTCTCCTTCCATGACTTATTCTCCTTCCTTGACTTCTTCTCCATCCATAATAATCATCTCTCCCTCCTTAACTTCTTCCCCATCCATAATTTCTTCTTTATTCTTGACTTTTTCTCCATCCAAAACTTCTTCTTCTTTCTTAACTTCTTCTCCTTTCTTCACATCTTCCCCATCCTTAACTTCTTCTCATTCCCTAACTTCTTCTTCATCCTTAACTTCTTCTTCTCCTTCCTTAACTTCATCTACATCCCAAATTTCTTCTCCATCCTTAACTTATACTCCTTCCTTAATTTCTTCTTCCTCCTTGATTTCTTCTCCATACTTAAATTCTTTTTCATTCCAAACTTTTTCTCCATCCCAAACTCCTTATCCATCCTTAACTTCTTCTCCTTCTTTAACTTCCTCTTTTTCCCTAACTTTTTCTCCTTCCTTAACTTCTTCTCCATCCAAACCATCTTCTCCTTCCATAACATCTTCTCCGTCCATGACTTCTTCTCATTCCTTGACTTCTTCTTCATCCATAATAATCATCTCTCCCTCCTTAACTTCTTCCTCATCCATAATATATGTGCTGAAATTTATTTGTGGTCTTTCATGGCAAAGGGAAATTAATAAAATGTGTTCATACTCTCCTTTGATTATGTGATTTGGCTATTGATTTTTAATATATTGTTCACATTAATTCAAAATTACCATTGACCCACTAACTCACCTTTAAAGTGAAAACTACATGAAAAATGAGGAGTTGATGAACACTAAGACTCGTTACCTTGGTTGGACTTGGAAGATTCCTATAGAAGCAATCACATCTTTGACATAAAACTTGAAAATGATGTTCTTGAAAATAGTGTTGAGCTCATTCATGAACAATAAAAAGAATTGTAGGGAAAATTTCAAAGCTACCAATGATTAGCTTCAGGGCTAAGCTAGAGGAAGGGAACATGTCAAATCTAAAGTTGAATGGTTTAGATGTTATAGTCAAATTTTTTTTATCGGTAACAAATAATAAAATTAATAGAAGTACAAAGGGGTACTTCAACCCATATACATAAAAAAGAAACAAAAGAAAAATAATATGCTGGGTCTCAGCGTTATTCAGCTCATAAAAGTCCATGAACACAATTTCAATAACCCCAGCATTACAAAAATAAAACTAACTTCTACTATGGTCCTATCATTAACAAAGATTCTACAAATACTAATAGATGGGCCTAATAACCCCTGAATACTCCCGCCCTCCATCTCCTTATAAGGATTCTCATCATTATATTAGAATTTCATGCTTTAACCTGTTAAAACATATACCAGTCATCACATATTAAAGAGAAGCTATAGAGTAATTAGTCTCATGCACCTTATCGGTTCATAGAACCAATTGGAAATTGGTATACTCACTCCATCCTAGTCTCTAACGCACCAAGCTATGAATTTTGCACTTGCTTTACTGAATTCTACTTCCGCATCAAATTTCTCATTTTTAAAAATGCACTTGTTCCTTTGAGACCAGATCTCGTATACCATTGCTACCCATAGTCTTTTCCACAACATATTTCCCTTCACTCCCAGTCCTCCTAATACGAAGCTTTCTAGGTTTGTTTTTGCCTCCCAATGGCACACATAACTAATTCTCACCCATCTAAAACACTTGTCCCAAATCTCACTGGTCACTTTGCATTTGAAAAAGAGATGATTGGATGTTTCATCCTTGCTTCCACATAAAGCACATTTTGGGTCACATATAGCAACCCCTCTCCTAACTAGATTCACCTTAGTAGGGATCCTATCCTGAAGAATTTTCCACCTTATAAGCATGGCCTTTGGGATCCCCTTAATTTTCCAATACCATTTGAAGATCGCTTCGTTCTCCTCACAAGTTACATTGGATAGAATCTCGTACGCTTCTTTTACAGTAAATCCTTTATTATTATTCTGGCCCCACAACCACGTACTTTTTGTATCCTTATTAAGTGTTATGCCCTGGATCTTACTTAGCACTTCCTCCTCCATTTTCTTCTCCCATTCAAACCATTTTCTTCTCCAATTAACTCTCCATTCCCATTTATTTTCAATCCACTCACCCAGCTCTGATATCACCCCTTCTTTGTTCACTCCTATTTGTTTCAACCGTGGGAACAAACTACCTAGACTTTGTTTCCCTACCCAAACATCGTCCCAAAACCTAATTTTCTCCCTGTTTCCTAACTTCCATTTTACATATTTATCAAACCAAGCTCTACCAGCATTATCTTTACGTATTCTTTTTATATCTAGCCACCATTTTGAATCTTTCTTAATGTTTTTTCGGTTCGTCTAATGCTCTCCAAGACCCATATTTGGATTCTATTACTTCCTTCCATAACCCTTTTGGCTCGGCACCTAGCCTCCATTTCCATTTTGCTAGTAAGGCTTCGCTCATCCTCTGAATATCCTTCACCCCTAACCCTCCATCTTCCTTTCTTCTACATATTTTTTGCCATTTAACCCACGCTATCTTTTTTCCTTCTTTAACCCACCCCCACACAAACTCCCTTTGGATCTTTGTTACCTCTTTAACCACTTTTACGGGCATTTTGAACATTGATAAATAAAATAATGGTACCATCAAAAGAACCGATTTTACTAGGCATATCCTCCCTAAGAAGGAAAACATTCTACCTCTCCACCTAGAGTGTTTTTTCTTTACTTTGCTTAGAACTTCATCCCAAAACTTGTGCCTTTTATGGTTTCCTCCAACTTTCAACCCCAGGTATCTGAAAGGCGGTTTCATTGTCTTAAAACCTAATTCTCTTGCATATCTTTCCAGTAATACAGACTCCACCTCTATACCTCCTAATTTTGTCTTTCTTAAATTGAACTTCAATCCTGATGCTAACTGGAAGCATCTCAAAATTGCTTTAATAACTATAATGTTATTAGGATTTGCGTCACTTAAAAACAAAGTATCATTTGCAAACTGTAGGATATTAACCAGATGCTCCTTTTCCCCCACCCTGGGCTCCTTGTAGCTTCCCTTTTGCTACTGCCTGTCTTACCACCCCAGCTAACCCTTCAACTACTACTAAGAAAAGGAATGGTGCCAAAGGATCTCCCTATCTTAATCCTTTTTGGGGAATGAACTCTTTTATTGGGCTTCCATTTATCAGTACTGATATGGAAGCTATTTTAAACAGCCTTCAATTCACCTCACCCACTTCCTGCAAAATCCGAGTTTGTCTAACATATAAATGAGAAATTCCAAATCTACAAAACTATAGGTTTTTTCATAGTCTCTCTTAAGTACCAGTCCTTTCTTCCTTTTGCTCTTATACTCATGTATTACCTCGTTTGCAGTCACAACACTATCCAAGAGACCTTTACCTTCCAAGAAAGTAGATTGAGACTCACTTATTACCTTATTTAGCACTCCTTTGTTAGAACCTTGTACAAGCTACCTATAAGGGATATAGGTCTATATTCATCCAATTCCACAGGGATTTCTACTTTTGGGATGAGTGCGATGAACGAGGCATTGCATCCTTTTGGTATATTTCCTTCCCTCTGAAATTTTTCAATAGCTTTAATTATGTCCACCTTCAATGTAGACCAATTATGCTTTATAAAGCTGAAATTAAAATCGTCAGGCCCCGGGCTTTTACTACCTTCGCAGCTCTAAACTGCCTCCCTTATTTCTTCCTCAGATATTTCTCTAACCAGAGCCTCATTATGTATATTTATTATTCTTTCAAACGAAATCCCATCTAGTTTGATTCTCACTCTTGTTTCTCGTTTGAATCTTGTTTTAAACTGTTGCAAAACCTCTTCTTTTACTCTTTCTGGGTCCTGACACCAAACCCCTCTAATCATAACCCCTGGTAATTCCACCTTGCTTTTTTTCCATCTAATCATAAAGTGGTAGAATTTTGAGTTTATGTCCCCTTCCGTTATCCACCTATCTCTTATCTTCTGCTTCTCCATAGATGCAATCTTCAACATTATTTTTCTCAATTCTATTTGGTACATATTTCTTTCCTTCTTTCCTTCTTCGTCTAACTGATTTAGTTCATCTTTACAGTCCATCACACTAATATTGTTTATCATACTTTGTCTTGCCAGATTTAAGTTCCCAAACGCTTCTCTATTTCATCTTTTTAGATGATTTTTAAGCATTTGTAGCTTCTTGGACCAACTTTTAATTCCCCATCCTATGATTTATGTTCCTTCCCAAGCCCCTTTTACCTCCTCCCTAAACCTCTTTTCTTCATTCCATACATCCAGAGATCTAAAGGTTTTGAGTCCCCAATCTATATAATTTTCTTTTATTACTATCGCGCAGTGATTTGAGATGCTTTTGTCCAGTACGTACTGTTTATTCCCTTTCCACTCACGAATCCACTCCATAGATACCAATGCTCTATCCAACCTACTCTTTGAAGAACCATCTGTTCTATACCATGTAAACTTCCTTCCAACAGTCGGTAAGTCCCATGCCTCCAATTCCTGGATGAATTCATTAAATCTTCTCATTTCTTCCGTTACTCTACCTCTTACACTACTTCCTTTTCTCTCCTATCACACAATAAACCTTGCATGACAGATTTTGGACACTCAGATGTATGTCTTCCCACAATTTATATTTTTTCTTCATTACGCAATAAGAATAAACATTGACCACTGTCAGTTTTATGTTCTTTCTCTTATATTTTCCCGTTACTACTATTAGCCCTTCTCCTATAATCATATTTTCACACTCAAACTTATCTGCATCCCAGGTGCTTAAAATCCCTCCTGACCCATTCTATGCCTGCTTAAATGCCCATTGAATATTATTATGGTTCCATATGTTGTAACATATACTCTCATCCTGTCTAGCTAATTTCGTCTCTTGTATACACACCATCTCTACCCCTTCCTTGTTTATCAGTTCCCTTATATATTTAATTTTCCCAAGACTCCTAATACCTCTTACATTTATGGTTAACACCCTCATGTATCACTATCTCTCCCCTCTTCATCTATCTCCTTCAGTTTATTTATCGCCAAGTTGTTATCCCCTTCGTACGAGAACCCTATCTCTCTCTCTATCTCCCATAATCTAACAGTTTCCTGATCCTCTTTGTTTATCCAGAACAGCCTATTGCAATTTTCTATGTTGCTATCATTAATATAATTACCAGAGAAGAAATATAACCTCTTCTCCTTGCGCAAGCTTTTGGCCGAGGCATCTGATCTGGACTGACTGATTGTTGCTTATTTCCCCTCTTCCACTGATCATCTTGGTTTCACACCGACTCCCAAATCCTTTCCAAGTCATAACTATGTTACTTCCCTTAACCAAATAAGTATCCGAAAGAAAAATTTGATTTATTCTCTGATGAACATCGCATGCTTGATCCACCAATTTTCCCTCCACTGACATGCGTTCGACTCCATCTTCTTCATTTGAAACTCAAATCGTGTCCTTTCTCTTTTCCAGCGCCTCCTCTGCACCATTGATGAGTGAATCATTGACCGCCTCTTTGTCGGACCGGTTTGCCTCCGATTTTGAACAATGAGAATGAGAGCTAGTCACGTTTTGAATCTCCATCGCCTTTTCCCTTCGATTATGTTCTCCATCTCGTTTCGATTCCATTACCTCTCCAATGATGATAGCCTCTACGAGAGTCATCCCTTGCTCAGCCTTTGTACAATTGGCAACATGTACAAGCGAGAGTTTGGGTGAAGAAGCCGAACCTCCCTTCTCTAGGGATTTGGCCTCCCAATTTGATTCCACTGCATGGGGAAGACGTGTTTCGGGCCAGATTTCGAACTGCTTGAAACTAGCCAAATCTAATTTTCTTGTACACGTCGATTCCAGATTTTGCAAATAATGGGCCAGCATTTGTTCTTCGTCTGAAAGCCCAACCCATTCCCTCTCGTTTGGGCCTAAGGTGACCTTCTTCCCGCTAACATCTGCACTAGTCTCTTCTTCCCGCTAACGTCTGCACTAGTCTCTTCTTACTCAGCATATCTACTTTTGCAGATACGATCTGACACACCCGCCTTTGAGCAAAGATCTTCATCAGATTTCTTACCATTAAATTTCAACGGCTTGCTAGGTTTGAACTTTCCTCCACCAGAGTTTGGTCCATCCCTGGCCAGAAAAATTCGCTTTTTGATCCCATCTTCATCCGCGAAGCACTCTAAGTTTTATGAAATGACCTCCAACACCTCCTCTAACTCTTCCTCCTCTTCGTCATCTTTACCTTCACACATAGCGCATTTGAATCCCTCTTCTATCTGTTCTTCTTCTAACACTACCATGTATACTCTGCCATTAATTTTTATACTCTGAGTCAATGTTGCTTGGGTCGAAATTGGCATTCCGATTTTAAATCTTGCATAATCCAAGCATTGCCACTTTTTAGTTTTCTCATCCACCTTTAGTAATGTTCCCAGTACTGACACTACGTCCTCAAAAGTTTTTTCCGACCAAAGAGCTATCGAAATACCCTTGCATCTCGCCCATACCTGTTTATTCCCGCTCACCATATTTTTGTCCCATCTAATTATGGATGTGAATAGCTTAGAGAACCATTCAAAATTTTCTTCCTATATTCCTGTTAATTCCTCCACCGAGTTTCCACTAATGAGAAATAGATTGTCTCTCATTCCCTTTACATAGACATTGTATATACTGTTCACATACAAGTTACTTTCGATTTCTGACTTTCCTATTCCTCTCGCTACTTCTGCGATAAAGTTGTCTTCCATCCATTTCTGCACCTTCTCCTCCACTTTCATTGTTCTTCCCCTTCACTCTTCCTCGCTAGTTGTGGTTTCCCCATTCCCTTTCACGACGTTTGCAAATGATTGACCGACTTTCCTCCTCCATACCTTCTTAACTTTTGGTTCTATGCTCGCCCGATTTGACTGAAGTTCGTGTCTCCTGTGTCTGGGTATGTTAACATGCATCTTTGTTGATCCAATCCAAATACCATCTAGGTTTCTTTTCATTTGCTTGACGTTTCCCACATTTGCAAATCTCACAAAACCAAAACGTTGGCCAAGTTTGTTTCTTTTTTGGGATATAAATATATCAATAACTCTTCCCCATCTTGTAAAAATTTTCCATATGTCCCTTACACCGTAGGCATCTAGGAATTTGGAGAAGAAGAACGATGTTCCTTCATCTTTCCATCTCTCTATAAACCATCACCAGAAAATGAGAAGAGAAGACAGTGAAGAGGAAGTTTAGTTAAAGATAAGATCTTTGCTGTCAAATACGAGACCCAGAAATGGAGGACCCAAGTGAGGAGAAGAACAATCATGGCGACGCTGTCGTCCTGACTGCCGTGGAGATCAAGAAGCGTAACCTACTGCTTGTGTTTCTTTTCTATTCCTTGTTTGTTTGGGATGGAAATGATGCACAGATGTTATAGTCATGATGATGGTGATTTATGTTTTTAAATGTTATTCCAAGACGTCTGGTGACAAGAGGAAAAGAGGGAGACTTCAAATCCAGTTAAGAAGAAGAAGAAGAATAGACTTAATGTTAATGCTTGTTCAAGACATAAATAAAAATGAATTAATATATATATACACGTGTGATCCTTTTGTGGTTCTTGACATTTAAGCATATAGTGTGTGATTGAGGTTAATACTCTGTGTATTTATTTTTTATTAAAATTGAAGTTGTTATTTGTGGGGTTCTTGATTACAATAATACATGAATGTCTTTGGTTGAAATTAGATGGATTTGCACTTATAAAAGTTGGATATATGGTAAATATTATTGAAGAGTACTTGGAGAAGACAAAGAAGAAGAAGATGTCCAAACATAAAAGAAAAGAATGACTAAGAGGCTATACTAGGGAGAAAGAAGAGATTATTGAATATGTTCGATGTCTTATTATCACAATTGTACACTGTATTGATTTTGATGATTCATTCACAAGGACTATGTTAGAATCCTTATTTCAAACATTGACAAGAATATAGTATAACTCAAAACAGTTTAACAAGTTGTTAAAGGTTGTTCATACAGCAACAAATATTAATCTTCTTCTGTCTTAGGTTTTTTCCTTTGGATGAGTTTTAAATCGTCAAGAGTCAAACATAAAATTATAAAATTTTACGTTGATTATAATATTGTTTGACATAAATTTATATTGAAATAAGTTATTCTAATGTAAATTTTTATTTATGATATTAACGTAAAAACTTAGAAAAATATAAAAAAAATTAAAATAATAATCGTAAAAAGTTCTTTTATATATTTATTAAGGCATATTATTTTAAAGTTACTACATTAACACAGGTCAAATAAAATATTGCAAATCATTTGATTTGTTACGGCTAATGCAAAATATCTGTATCACTCATAATATTAATGTCATGATAACTTTAATTTCAGGGATTAACGTATTTAATTAATTTCATTAACAATCATTATAAAAAAATTGAATTTATATATATATATATATATATATTTAAAACATCAAATCCTTTAATAGAAAATTTATGCATATGAAAGATTGAAGAGAAGAATTGAAAATGAATCAAGAAAGACCATTAAAAACCTCTTAATAAATCATGATGGAGAATATAACTCAAATTAAGTTTTTACTTTTTGAAGCACATGACCTTTGAAAAGAGTTTATAACAAAATAGTGTACCACAACATGATAAAAAGTTAGTGAGATTATCTTCCATTTTTAGAAATTTTTCTTAAAGAAAAATACATAATGTATACCCATAAAACTTTCCATTTTATGGGAATTCTTTAGATATATTAACGTATACATCAATCTATAATAAGATATCTTATAATATATCAAATTTAATACTTGGGAATTATTTATACATGCAACAATAAAAATATTAACAATGTGATTTTGTGAACATGAACGCCAACAATTTATTTTATTTGTATATCAAATAATTTTGTTAATTTATCATATCATAGAAAAGAGATCTTCTTCAACGAATGACAGATTTTAAACTGGTAACAAGGGAGTGGTTGGTTGGGAATAATTTCTGAAAAATTCTTATAAATATTGTAATCATTTTGATTAATTTTATATTAAAATAAACTACTATAAGATTAATGTACAATTACAAAAAAATCTAATTTAATCTTTAAAATTAATTCATAAAATAAGAGAAGGTTATATATTGAATTAAATGCAACAAAATTAAGAAAGGACATAGCGCAGAAGTGTTGGTTAATGGTGAGCGACATCCATCACCGAAAGCCATACACCAACCATACTCTCTCATCATCCTCATATCTCTCTTGTTGCTTCTATCTCACCACACTCTCTGCATTTAAATTTCGTACTTCACACAAAATTCACAGTTAAGGGATCGTCCAAAAGGGTTTCTAATATGGTTTATCGATCCTCCGTGCCTTCTCTCCTCGTATGCATGTTTGCTTCTTTTGCTTCTGTCTACGTCGCTGGAAGGTTGCCTCTTCTTTTCATTGTTCTGCTTTCTATGCGCATGATGAGTTTGTTGAGTCTCTGTTTTCAGTGTTTCTTTTGTTTTGCCACCACAATAGTATACGTAAAATAATGTTACTGCAATTCTAACTCTTTTCTTCGTCAGCAGATTATGGCAGAACTCTGAGGACAGGATTTATCTCGTAAAAGAGCTTGATAAGTTAACGGGGAAGGTACGATAGTAATAGCACACACCTACATTCTGTTTATGTTCAATTAATGATTTATTTATGAAGTTCCATTTTGAAACTCTTTACAGTAGTCATATCATATCATTTCTCTGCAAGTAGAATTGAACATTTCAAAATCAAATCTATGTAGAAAAAGATGTAACTAGAAGAAATCCATTTAAAAGTGATATGTTAACCAAGTTTCTTCAACCACTAGTTGTAAGGTCTGTCTTGGACAGGTCCACCTGCTAGTTTCAGCATAAGATTAATGAAATGTTGAAATAGAAGGCATGTCCCTTAAACACAAATTAGTCACTAATTGTAATTTTGGAATATTGTGTGGATCATACCCATGAAAGAAAACGAGAATATGACGCGACAAAGAAAAACGAACCTCTTGCCAAACACTCAAGCGAGTCATTGATTAGTCGATCTCACTACCTTTTCTTGATATTCCACATTTGTTTACAAGCATTTGTCATTAGTCTCTGGTGAATATGTGCGCTACGCGCATTGGTATTTGATGTTATTGGTGGTTTTGACCTTGATTAAGGACTTGATTTGTACTAAATCAAATTTAGACTAACTATAGAAAGAAAAAAACTTTAGATTATGTGTTTAGAATGACCTGGTAAGATAGGGAGTGTGGTAGGGACATCATCATCAATATGTTGAAATTTAGTACTTCATTTTACTTACTAAGATATTGATTTGAATCTCTGCTTCTGGTTATGGTTTCTTAAATTGACCGTAAGTTTTTACTTTCAGGGACAATCTTCATTATCAGTGGACGATACATTGAAAATTATAGCCTGCAGGTAAATTAAATGAAAGAGTAATATATGACAAAAAGAACTTAATTACCATATAATTTAACTGATAATGTCCATCGATGTTCTTAAATTTCTTAACTTATTTGATGCCCTTAAAGTCAAGTTACATGATGGTTAGGGAGCAACGCAAGAAGCTTGATATCCTTGAGATGGAACTTGCTACAGCTAAACAAGAGGGTTTTGTTTCAAATCATGTCAGAGAGACTAATGGGACTTACTCTAAGAGAAAGCCATTGGTGGTTATTGGAATTTTTACCAAGTTTGGCAGCCAAAACAATAGAGATGCAATTCGTAGTGCATGGATGGGAAGTGGTAAGTATAGCAATTGCTCACTCTTGCTTCGTCTCATAAATTAGTAATAACTATGAGATAAAATTTTAATTTTAATTATACAGTTGTCTATGCGTGTTTATTTGAAATAGCAAAGAGGGGTGTTTGCCCCCACTTGGACAACCTTCGCCTATATAAGGAAAGCTATTTCATTTTATTTGTATCATCTTGTGTTATACCTAGCCGATCTATCAACCCTTCAATTTTTTTGCTATGTTTTATAGATACTAGAAAAGAAGATTTGCCAAAGAATGCTTGATAGGATTAACTATGCAGGTACAGCTATGAAGAAAATGGAAGACAGAAAGGGCATTGTCACACGTTTTGTTATTGGAAGAAGGTTTGAATTCTCATTTTTTGAATTAGTCTCTTCTGGTTTGGGAGGAAAGGTTGTGCAGCTGGAACTGGAATCCTTTTTCACAAATATGTAATGTTCCAGTGCAATTCGTGGGGACAATCTGAATAGGGACATCGATCGTGAGAATTGGCAGAATAATGACTTCCTAATCCTTGTGCGTAAAACTAAATCAAAGATTTTGCTTCATCAATATGCTTTACATTTTTTTCTCACTTTATTAGGATATATGAAAACGATTGAGGATTTTGGTTTAAGAATTTTAGCCAAAGAGAAAAAGTCACTCACTCACTGCACTACTAAGAGCAGGTCAACAGATGTTATAAGCTCAAGAATCGTTTAAACATTTTTTATATGAAAACTTAAATGGCAGGCATATATGAACTCAAGTTATAGTTTGTCAGGCATAGGTACTTAGCTTGATATTGTGAGGGTTTCTTCCTTATTATTGTGGCGTCCCGTGAGTGGAGAATAAGGTTAAATCAGCATGAGCTAATTGGTTGTTTCTGTTCAACGGTTCTTGTTAGCAGGATGATCATGTAGAAACAAATGAGGAGCTCCCAAATAAGTCTAAATTGTTCTTTGCTCACGCTGCAGATAAATGGGATGCTTACTTTTATGCTAAAGTCAATGATGATGTTTACGTAAACATACGTGAGTTTGTTTAGTCTCAGTCCAAATCCATTTTTTGGAGTTTAAATGTCCTGCAAATTACTTACTTCTTCTTGAGCAGGTGCATTGGGAGCTACACTTGCTACACATTTGGACAAACCTCGTGTTTACATAGGGTGCATGAAATCAAGAAAAGTTTTCTCTGAACCGTGAGCACCCTTATCGTTGCAGTTTTAATAAATGTCATGTTAGATGTTCTCTGGTATGATTGACATACACCATTGTTGACTCTGAATTTCCACAGGAACCATAAATGGCATGAACCAGAATGGTGGAAATTTGGTGACAAAAAATCGTAAGCGACTAGCAGTTTCTACTTCTGAGTGGACAGTTACAAAAAATTCACATGTCAAACTCAATAATAAAGTTATTATCCAGTGTCTTATCCAGTTTTGATTAGCTTCAGCTGATCTAGGAGGTTATGGGACGATAAATTTCCATCCATATTTTACTTGTGGTCGTAAAATAAACTCTAATTTGGTGTGCTTAAATTAAATCCATTTATCTAATTTTGGTGACACTGGATGCCTTGATGGATACCTTTTACAGATATTTCATGGCATATTTTTTCTCCTCTTAAACGAATAATAAATCGATCTCTACTTTCCAATAGATACTTTCGTCATGCATCAGGAGAGATGTATGTCATATCGCAAGCTCTGGCAAAATTCATTTCTATAAACAAGTGAGAACATTCTTCGCTGCAGCAAATTCAGCTTATGAAGTTACTGTTCATTCAACTCAAGATTGAGAATGTACTTTTGAGTTGTCAGGTCTATTCTCCGTACATATGCCCATGCTGACATTAGTGCGGGAGCCTGGTTTATTGGGCTTGATGTGAAGCACGTTGATGAAGAAAAGTTTTGTTACTCATCAGCAGGTCTCTCTCTCCCTCCACCTCTCTTTCTTTCTCTCTCTCTATATATAGACATAGTTTCAGTTACAACCTAAAAATGATAGAAAATTATCTTCTATTTCCAGGAGCTCTCTGCGCAGGTGTTTAGAAGTTATTATTGCCGTGAGACAGCTTTTGAGAAGATTTGCAATGCATTCTACAATGTCACAGAATATTAGGGAGGCCAAGTGCCTGCTCTGCTGGTTCCAAAACACAGCAGTGAACCTGTCCTAGCCTCTACTTACCAGTTATTATTAACGTGGTTAATGGGTCACATTATGAGTAATACTTTTCCCCTTGAACCGTAACGCACTACTTCATTACATCTGAACAGAGTGTGAAATATGACCAAATTCAGATAAAGAAAAATTTTTACGTTGTAGACATCAAACTCACTTGTTAAACACCCCTGGATTATAAGATTGAGTTTTGGTCATTAGATGTGAGACACTTTTAAATCTTTGCAATTTTTTTTTTTCTTTTCTAATAATGGTTCTTCACTTTCAAGTATAAGGGGATGAAAGAAAAAGTATAATGGAAGGAAGAAATCTTATAATGAATCAAAAAGTAAAATGGGGTTTACTCCATCTACCTTCCCTAAAATCATTTCCTACGATTCAGCCCTCAATATAAGCAATTATTTTAAATTCTCTCTTGATTAATGATATAAACATGAATTTTGCTGCGTTTAAATTATTTTAAATTCCTACGTTTAAATTCTCTCTCACAATTTTAAATGCTCTTTGCCCATCAAAATGATATTGCTGCGGTCGCCTAGAGTAAAATTAGTAATGGTTTTAAATAAAAACGACATTGCATTTCTTCATTAAATGTAATAAATGTACATGAAATAATGATGAAATAGGGTTTTTATTTCTACTCGCTATACAAACACTCAAACTATTCAGAATTCCCCCATCTCCCAAGCAACTAAAACAAGAGGAGCAGCCTTTTAGACAATAAAATTTACATATATCACTAAATTTTACTATTATTTATAATGTAAAAAGACCCCAATCTATTATTTATCAATAAATATTGCCTAAAAAAAATATACTTCAGCATTTTCATGATGAACCGTTGAGGAAATGAGCTAATGCTTTGTCAGTATCATTATCATACATAACCAAGGCTTCAGCAACGCTGGTTGACGAAAATCCCATTTCACGCAGAAGGGTATAGCTCTTGACAAATTCCGGAATCTTCAAATGAATAACGCAATATGTCAGTAAATATTGTGATACATCTTCTGTCATCTAGTCCTACTTAGGAAATTGGCAATGCTAACTCCTAAGACTGGAAGTGTTAGTCAAACCGAATGATAGTGCAATGTCGGAAATAAGGTCCAAAATATCAAAAAAATGACTTATCATGCACAGAAAGGGTTTTCCTTCAATTAATTATATGGATGACAGGTTAAATTATTTGAATCAGAGGCAAAACCAAGAGTGACAGGTAGAAAAGCCCAATGGAAATGGTCAAAACTAATACTCTACTTTCACTACACTTTTAGAGATCTCTTCCGTTGAAGCATAAAGCACATCATGTATTGAGCATTTAACATTTGTAAATAAAGGTAAACATATACTCCCCCCATCATTACACAGAAAGAGGGGAGGTTAGATACAGAAGACAAACATATCATGCAAGACATAAGCAAAGTTGTATTAAGTGTCCATTTAAGTTATAACTTAATTGACCACTTTTATCAATACCTTGTATGAAAAACTCACAATTTCACATAAAATCAATATGTTCACAAAAACTTTGTAGAATCTCTACTATAAAGGAAAGAAAAACCACTTGAATACATAATAAAGAATTTACTTGCTAAGCATGATCAACACATAGAGAAAGATATCCAACATATCTTATAATTCAGATTTAGATACATCATGATCATATTTTTTAGCAGAGCAGTCATTTTAACAATAAATGCACAACTAAGACAAGGATCAAGAACATACCTTGGTTGGATTATCACCATAACTTGCGACAGCAATGGGAACAGCCTCCCGGCTGAGCCCCATGGCAATATATTTGCTCACAATGGGATCTGAAACAGAAACCTGAAAAGAAAGTAATGTTTGAGAATTGGACACAACCAAAGATGCCTCTATGTAGAGAAAAACGTTTACCATCAAATATATCATGGACTAGCAAATAATAAAGCTATAAGCTGCATGTAATAAATTCTGGAAAAACACATAATTAACACAAGCTACACATGCTATGCTGGCATCAATTGAAACTTACTGTATATCAAAAAGTTACCTTTGGTGACACTGTTTCAGTAACCTTAGTTGGAAGATTTTCCATTCCAAACTTGCTCCAATTTGGGTTTTCTTTATTTGCCTCAGAAAGGATTTTTCTCTCCAATCCAAAATCAAACTGGAAGTTGCCACGTTGAATATCTCCAGTAAGTGGTAACAAATGGGGCTACATTACAACATTGGAAAAACCAGAACGGTCAAAACATACCCAAGCTAATGATATAGTGCGATCATCCTTTTATGCATGGCAAGGGATAGAACAAGAAAAAAAAATTTAAGTAATAACAAATGTTCTTCTCAGCTAGTCATATAAGTTTAACAATTTTATAAACCATGTAATTATAATTACAAGTTGAATAGTCGAATTATCCGATTTCACAATTTCTTGGACCTCTTGGGAGTTTGATCACGAGTAGGATAGGTTTTCTGGTGGATCGGAAAAATTGTCACCTAATATCGCAAAAATTTAGACTCTCGGGTTGGATCTTGGGACCATTAGGGGATGATTCTGGTCTTGGGTTAAAACCCAATCCCCTTTTCTTCAATGAAACCAAAATCCATTTGAACCCTAACTCATATATAACCTTCTTTGGAGTTCTCTATCTCTCTACCTTCTACCCACATGAACCCTAACTGGTCACTGATAGGAGCGTTCTCAGCCAATCCTCAAGATTATCTCCTATGATTTGGGTTCTCAGATTTTTCTGTTTTGATGTTTCAAACAGGTTTGATGTCAAGCTTAAGAGGTTTTGGGTTTTTCTTTAGGGTGAGTGATTGGGTTCTCACATTCCAGTGTTTTAAATTTAGGGTGTTTGGGTTTTTATGTTTTCTATTTGTGTGCGTGGATTTTGCTGTTTCAGTGTTTTGCACAGGTTCAATATTATAAGGTCTTGAGTTTTTTTAGGATGATTGGGTTATCAATTTTCATTGTTTTAACTTCCGGGTGTTTGGGCAAGTGCATTCTGTCAAAGAAATCATAATCGGAGGGGTTTACCACTTGGCTAGAACCCAAAAGGACGGTGGTTATTGCAAATGTGGGTGTGAAGCAGCGGAAAAAGAAATATAAGATGCTGCTTTGGGTTCAGAGCAAAAATTAATCAAGACAAAACCTTTGACGAGGAGGAGGATGCAGAAATTTGCGTAAATGCTCCTAGAAGTAAAATTGATGTGGCTTGGAAGCATGGTTTGTGTTAAAAGAGGTCCTACAAAAGTTCAATGCAAATTCTGCCGAAAGATCATAATCAGAGTTTTACATCCAGATGCAACACTTGACTGGAACCCAAAAGAATGTTGATGCTTGCAAAAACGTCAGTGATGAATTAAAGAGAGAGATGATTAAAGCTGATTTGGGATTGCAATAAAAAATAATCAAGAAATCAAACTTTGATGATGGGGAGGATGTAAAAATTAGTGAAAATGTTTCATACTGTATTTAGGTTTGTAGCAAAAATTAATGAAGAAGTCAAGCATTAGTGACGCGAATGTAAAAATTGAAAAATATATCAGATCAAGTCATCCATGATAGTTGTTATTTAATGCAGGTTACTTCCTACTAGTTTAAGTTATTTTGCTTTGTCACTTATGATGTATTATGACTTCGTTTCCTTCCTATGATTCAAAGCAAAGCAACATAAAAATTAGACAACCAAAGACGATACAAGTTCAGCAACCCAACCATCCGAATTCCGGATAGGGAAAAATGAAAAATCTGAAAAAATTAAACTCCCAAATCAGCTATTCTTAGTAAGAATTGCAGCAAAAGGAACGAACCAATTAACTCAAGGAAATAATATTAATACAACAAATCATTCACTTTCTAGAGTATCACAAAGAAGAAAGAGTCCAAACGGGGTAATCATGGCTGAAAACAAGGTCCACACGCGTATCGCAGACGAAGCATGCCAATAAAAAATAGCATTAAGAGCAGATTGATTTGAGTTCAACACAAGTATCGAGGTCCAAACATTAACAAGTCAATCATGTTTTGAAAAGCATCTTATCTGGAGAGCAATAGCTTATCAGTTAAAAGTTCTCTCAGAAGATTCGGTATAAAACACATACACATTATTTTTTTTCATCAAAATAAGTTAACCAACACACCCGATCTTAACTTTAACAACTTAATTTCAGAAAATGTTTCACATCCGAATCTCAATTTCAGCAAAACTCACCGGCGGAGTGATCCTATATTCTGGCTTTATGAAAACTCTAATACCCAATCCCGCTGCAGATTAAAAGAAAAACAGTCAACACATCCAATCAATAATAATAATAAATATATATTGTGTATTGAATGCATGCAAAAATCTCTGTAATTTCTCTGATTGGAAACAATGAAAATAGGGAGATGAGTTGTGACTTACGAGAAGAGGAAGGGGGAGAAGAGCGGTGGGGGTGGGAGGGGAGTGCGGCGGCGTGGCCGTGAGGGGTGACCGTAGGGTACATTTGGTAGGTGGATGAAGAGGAAGAAGTGTTGTAGGGTGGAGGTCCGGCCTTGAAATCGTAGTCCATCACCTTCGGAACAAGAAAACTTAATTTTCTGGAAGCGTAACGTGAGAAAAGGGATGCGTCTGATAGTTCCCAATCACACCGCGTCGTGACAAGTGAAGTGTGACATATGCCCCATAAACCAACTCTCTCTTAAATAGAAATTCTAAAATAACTATTTTAGAAATTGGGAAAGCAATTTAGCCAAAAAAATTATAACTTTAATTTTACCGATTTTTATTTGAATATTACTTTTATAATTAAAATAAAATTATTAGTAAAAATATTAATCATTAAAAAATTGATTAAAACAGTGTAAATAGAGAAAAAATATGTCATTACAAAAATCCTATGTCTAGAATATTAAAATCATTTTTATTTTATTTTGATATTTATTTATAAAAAATCAAATGACAATTTCAAAGTTCTAACTCCTCTAGTTTATATTTTAATAATTATTTTGAAACTCAATTATGTTCTTGAAACAGTAAAAATCTATAAGAGTATTTAAGGATATTTTTAGGTTTAAAATTTTTATGAATAATTAAAAATGATTAGAAAATTTAAATTATCGATGTAAAATATTGAAATCGTCCGTGAGTGACAATAGAGAACTAGATAAATATTAAGGATAGAAATGTTTTGAAAATTTTAATAAATTAATTTCCATTATAATTAATTAACATAAAATTAATTTATGACAGAATTAGTTACTACTTCTACATAAAATAATTATTAAAAATTATATGAAACTCTGATGCGTTTTGGGCTTGGAGGTAAACCCTCAAACTACAGCCCAACCCAGCCCAAACCACAGTCATAGAACTGTCAATTCTTATGTTGGATAGAGGATCACGAAAAATAAGGTGCACTCTAGAAGAGAGAATGTTAATTAAGAATATTTAGCTGAGAGATAGGAAAGAATCAAATCTCCCTTTTCTAATTGTGTATTTGAAATTATAGTATATGAATAGAAAAAATTAATTATAAAAAAAATTGTATAATACAAAAATTAATTTTGAAACAATAAATTATAATAAAAATTATATAATTTTATTTCAAATCGCGTCTTTTCTTCTTGCCTGTATCTGTTAGTCTTCTATTCCTTCCTTCCTTCCTTCCTTATTTATTTTTCCATCTTTCTTAAACAAAACATAAGTTCATAAAACTAATTAAAAATCGATTCTTAAACTTATTACAAGTTGATCTGCTAATTTCAAGACCTAATCACAATTATTTGACTTTAAAGAAAGCCACCGCCAATCAGCAAATAAAGAAGATCCCTGCCAAGTGCAACATGTGTAGCAAAGCATTATTCTTATAACAGTTTCATGTTTCAATTCAATCAAGTTATTTGACTTTAGAGGAAAGTAAGCCACTGTTAATTAGCAAATATCCCTGCCAACTCTTGAGGGTAACATGTGTAGACTTTGCTACTGGTGGTTAATATATTTTATTTTTCAATGTATGACACTACTACCAATAAAAAATTGTTCTGGATAACCTTTGATCTTCTCATAATAAGTTAGTTATGTAAGCAAATAAGTTTTGTTTCAATCACACACAAATCACAATCCACTTGACAAATAACTCTAAGCATCTCAGATATGCTTGGACTTGAAATTTGGGAGAAAAAACCATGTAGCATACTGTTTCACATTAGTGCTTAAAAATAGTGATCACATATTAATAGTAATCTTAATTTTCACCTTCCCTAGACCGTAGATTATTACATTTCTCTGCTCGGTTGACACAACTGCTTTTAAGAGAAGGTGTCCTGAAAAGGATGGTGCAATAATGTGGCTTTCTGATTTAGTTCCTTCTGGAAACTCTGTGATTTTACAGAGAAGGAGCCTAAATAAATTGACATTGTTGTTTATTTATTTCTGCATATTTAGCTTCCAAGAATAAATTATAAATGCAATCATATAAGTCAAATGTGAAGTCCTGAAATTCTGAGCAATGATTGGTAGCTGGTGGGAGGGTGCTCCTAACAACAACAGTGTTGAAACCTCTTCTTTCGGTGGAGCAACATCATCATTTTATGATGTTGATGCTGTCCTAATCCTCCCTAATTAGTCAACGTTTTAACCTTTTTGTTTACTTATTTATTTTGCCGCGGGTTGTTGATGCATATAAACAAAGACAAAACAGCTACTACATTACCTAAACTATGTGTATCACTTTCCATGCACTATTTACTATTTGGATTAGCACAAGTGAAATAAATCATGAACATTCATCCCATTAATGTCAAACATTTTCAAAGCTGAATAATAGTTTTGTAGACTAAAGCCTTCTCATGATAGAATTTAACGAATATGATATGCTATAGTGTAGCTCTTGGGTCACCTATGCATGTGTAAATGAAGTTCAAGACAAAGTTCATGGGGTCACCACCCCTCGTCCTATCTCTCAACCTACACTTTTCTTTATTATTCTTTCTCCATTCTTTCCGCGTTCACATCTCCATAAGCAAGTCATTGAAAGTTTTCTTGAAACGCATAGATTAGAAAGTATAAACTAAGGGGAAGCAAGAAGTAGCACCACCTTAGGATCAGTTACAATCAACGGGTATGTCTTTATATTTAATGTTTTGATGTTTTTCCGTGTGATTAATGTCTTATTCATAAACATACATTAGTTTCCATATTTGTCCAATTACTCCAATGGGTTTCTCCACATGGCTCCTTCCTATTCTTGTTGCATAAAAAAAAAAATTATCTTTTTGGTTTCTCAATGATGTGTTACAGTTATATTTCATTAGTAATAGCACCATTATTGCAACGACCCCAGTTTGGATCTTCATCTGGTTACAGGAGAATGGTCCTGGTCTTCTGGACCTACTGGTGTTCCTGCTACCTCCTTCCTAAATTCATCACTTTTGTGGCGCTTCCGTATTCATAATATGGTTGTGTGGGACACTATTGGTTGTATCTTTACTTTTAACTGATTGGTGAATTTTGGAAGGAGTATGGTGTGAGTAAGTACCCCTTTTCTCTATCTATGAAGGTGTAGTAAAGTGCTCTGACTTTTAGCTACACAACTCTTAGAATTGGATTATTTCCAAAACAACTGAAAGAATAGACCTAATTCTCTATACATTTCTTGTGTATACATACAGAAAATGTTTTCTGGTCTTTCTAAAATCCTGAAAATGATATTTTCTTTTTTCCTGCTGGCATGATCACGGTCACCAGATTATTATTACCTACTAAACTGGCTCATCCAAGTATTGGTTTACATCTTTATTTTGGCACTTTGGTAGGGAACCAAACAAAGTAGGTGAACAGAAAAAAGCCAATAAGTTGATTTTCTATGTCAAAGAGGAGCTGCTTATTTTGACGCAAAAAGACACTTTGATAGTGTCGTTTAGTCTTTTAGATCAGAATCAAAGAAATTTACTCCAACATGTCTAATAGTATACAAACCTTACACCCTAACACATAACATGTCTAAAAATGACCCCAAATTGGCTTTGTTGTTTTAGCTTTGCAAAGACATCACACACTAGCGCTCAATCATCTAATCATTTGTTTGTTCTCCAGTTCGGTGACTTGGGGGATTCCTTGTTTTGCATCCATTGGAGCTAGAAAATGTCCAAGATGCTGGCCCTCTTGCTCATGATTGGAGCAATGTTGTTTACAGTAGGAGCTGAGCCAGTGGAAGATAAACAAGCATTGCTTGATTTCCTTCACAACATTAACCACTCTCGTAATCTGATCAACTGGGATAAGAATTCTTCCGTGTGCAAAAGGTGGACTGGAGTCACCTGCAACTCTGAGCAATCACAGGTTATAGCCCTCCAACTGACCAGAACTGGATTGAGTGGTCTAATCCCACCCAACACTCTCAGCCGTCTCTCAGCACTTCAAACTCTGAGTCTTGCATCAAATAGCATAACTGGTTCTTTCCCTTCTGGTTTCTCTCAGCTAAAGAATTTGATCTATCTGTATCTCCAATTCAACAAATTTTCTGGTCCTTTGCCGTCAGACTTTTCAGTTTGGAAGAATCTTAGTATTGTGAATTTATCCAACAATTCTTTCAATGGGAGCATTTCATTTTCACTTTCAAATTTGACTCATCTCTCTTCTTTAGTACTATCCAACAACTCCCTTTCAGGTGACATTCCTGATCTCAATATCCCTACCCTGCAAGAGCTGAATTTTGCGAACAATAACCTTAGAGGGGTTGTGCCTGAATCCCTTGAGAGATTTCCAAGTGGGGCATTTGCTGGTAACAATCTAACTTCTTCACATGCACTTTCTCCTTCTTTTCTTGTTCAGCCCCCAAATCCTCATCCAATAAGGAAAAAATCCAAAGGACTTAGGGAACCAGCATTGTTGGGTATCATTATTGGTGCTTGTGTGCTGGGAATCGCAGTAATAGCAGCTTTTGTGATTGTGTGCCGCTATGAGAAAGGTGGTACAAATGGACAACAAGTGAAGTCTCAGAAAAGAGACGTATCCAGGAAAAAAGAAGGTTCTGAAAGTCGAGACAAGAACAAAATTGTTTTCTTTGAGGGTTGCAATCTTGCATTTGACTTGGAGGACTTGTTGAGAGCATCTGCTGAGGTTCTTGGAAAGGGCACGTTCGGGACAGTGTACAAGGCTGCTCTAGAAGATGCAACAACCGTGGCAGTGAAAAGGTTGAAGGATGTCACGGTTGGAAAACGCGAGTTTGAACAACAGATGGAGATGGTGGGAAGGATTAGGCACGATAATGTGGTTGCATTAAGGGCATATTACTATTCAAAGGAGGAGAAACTTATGGTATATGATTACTACGAGCAGGGCAGTGTGTCTTCAATGTTGCATGGTATGTTCTCTTGTTATCATCTTCTCCCATGTATGTGACAAATCTTAAATTGATTTAGATAATATATATATATATATATATATATATATATATTGCATTCTAAGACCTACTTTTATTCGTTTCTTTGGTTTTCTTTGTATATCTAGTAATATGACATTGGATTGTTACACCAAACTCGCGAGTACCTAACTCTGGGAAGGGGTTCCATATAGATATTGGTTTGGGGAAAATGAGTAAAGAGGAAATGACAAAAAAATGAAATTTGTTTCCCAAGATCAATGTAAATATAGTTTCTTTCCCTTCTAAAATTGTTCTATTCAATATTTGTTTTGATAAAATTTCCATAAACACTAACATAAGAGAAGAAAATAAGAAGGTAAAATACATTAAACTTTTCTACAAGATATTTCAAGTATAAGGAATTTGTACAAAAGTTAATTGCATAAATTGATTTTAACTTGTACGAAAAACTTAATCCATGTTATCTTCATACTTTCTTCTCTTATAAATGATATTTATCCAAACATGTTATAAAAGCAACAGCAGGATTTTGGGGGAAACATTCACTTGCTGCAAGTCATGAGACTTATAAATATGCAGCAAAGTTAAATTATGCGGCTTCCTACACATTATTTTGAGGGATTTTCTATTGTTAACCATGCTTTGGAAACTTTATCAATGTAGGCAAAAGAGGAGGCAGAAATTCTTTAGACTGGGATAGCCGTTTGAAAATAGCAATTGGTGTAGCAAGAGGCATTGCTCACATCCATGCTCAACAAGGAGGGAAACTCCTCCATGGAAACATAAAGGCCTCTAACATCTTCCTCAACTCCCAAGGATATGGTTGTCTCTCTGACATTGGTCTTGCAACACTCATGAATCCAGCATTGAGAACAACAGGGTACCGTGCACCTGAAGCAACCGACACACGAAAATCAATGCCGGCCTCTGATGTCTACAGTTTTGGTGTGCTGCTGCTTGAGCTTCTAACTGGGAGGTCTCCCTTACATGCCAAAGGAGGTGAAGAAGTTGTCCACTTGGTTAGATGGGTGAATTCTGTGGTTAGAGAGGAGTGGACTGCAGAAGTGTTTGATGTGGAGTTGCTGAGGTATCCAAATATTGAGGAGGAAATGGTTGAGATGCTACAAATAGGGATGGCATGTGTTGTGAGATCACCATATGAGAGGCCAAAAATTGGCGAGGTGGTGAGAATGGTGGAGGAAATTCGTAGAGTAAATACTGAAAATAGATCATCCACTGAATCTAGATCAGAAGGTTCCACTCCAACCCCTCATGCAATTGAGACACCTTCTACCTCTTTTGCTCATTGAGATTCCTTTGGTTTAGTCAAAAGTTGTTAAGGATGTAATTTAGTCACTGTCTCAATTTCAATTTTGATCATAACAGGAGCAGTGAAGTTGGTAATGGAATTGGTAAGTAGTTAACCTACTAAACAAAGTTTATGTCGAAGTCAAGTTGGGTCCCTCGATTTGGTGTTGTATTGTGCTATTATTTAGTTAGGGAATCTTGTTGATTTGCCATGATTTTTGGGTTGGGCTCCACAAGTGTCCTATGCTTCGCACTCCCCCCCCCACAAAATTGACAGGTGCATGGGATTGATCATGAAATTATTATAATTCACGCATAAAAATGAGGATAAAGAATGTAAAGTTCTTCCAATTTATTCCATTTTCATTGGCGTATTCACTGTCAAAGTTGTCATCTTGTATTCACAATCCATACTCGTCTGGTTTTATGATCACCAAGATTTACTAGTTTTGTAGATGCCAAGTAATTATCAACTTCAATCACATTAATGAAAGCACGGATTCATTTGGAATGACACGTTTTACTTTACACACTTTGAGATCTTTCTTTCCTACCATCTTTTGAATTTTATATTTATTTGTACTTATTATTATAATATTATAAAAATAAGAATTGTAAATAAGTGTAGGTGAAAAATAAACGATTCTAAATATATTAGTGCTCTTTCTTTTATTTTAAAATGAAAAGGAAAATCTGGAGATAAATACAAGACCAGAATAAAATAAAAATAAGATTTAAAATAGAAAATAAAATATTAATATTTTAAATCTTTAAATATATATATATATATATTCTAAAATTATATTTTAAACAAAAATATATAAAATTATAAAAATATAGAAATTAATATGAAATCAAAATTTAATATGATCCAACCAAAATAAAATATATTTTTTAATTATGATCCATTGAGCATGGATTCAATTTTTTATTTTTTTATCCTTTTGAATTTTATTTTTTACCATTCTCGGTGGTATGGACAGGGTAAAGGTTGACTACGTAAGAGGAAATCTCATACACTAATATATATTTTCAGATCCATAGTTTAAGATGCTAATTCAATATTTAATGGGTAAATTAATATAATTTTTTTTTTATCAAATATATAATATAAGAATAAAAATTAACAAAAATGTGTCACCGATTTTATTTTTTAAAGATAAAATATGTTAGCTATATTATACATAGCGGTTAAAAAAATATAATAATAATTTAATCATTAATATTATAATTGTTGTTAATAATTAATAATTAATGATGATTTTAAATCATTATTTTAAATTACTTATACAATAAAGGATATAAAACTAAGAGTACTCCAATAAAGGATATAAAAGTCTTTTACATCTTATAACACTACTAGGATTTAAGATAATGATTTATATAAGGGGTGTTTAGGGTTTAGGGTTTTAACATTTTTTTCTTCTTAAAATCTCTTTTCCGTTCTTTTATAATGATTACATATAGCATAAATTTGTCGGAGAGATAGATAGAAAAAGACTTTTAATTTAAAATAAAATATATAATAAAACAATAGTGATATCATGGCATCATAAAAATAATATACATAGTCTTGAATATAACGTTCATGAATACTCGTTCAGTTTAAGATCATATTTTCATATGACATAGAAAACAAAAAGAAGGAAAAAAGAATGTTATCCCTTAAATAAATATTTTTCCTTAGAAGTTAATTTACTCTTCTTCTAATGAAACAATGTTAAAATGAAATTTGAAAACTATTTTTCTTTTATTTATTTTAAACATGAAGATGACTTGATAATTTCGTAATATATTTTTAATATATTCTCATTAAATTAGTGACACATAGAAGGTAATCGTTTGTCACCACCAAATAGATGAATGTACAAAAAAATTAATATTCTACAAATAAAAATAAGACATAACATAGAAATAAAAATTATATTTATATTTGTGAGAAGAAAAAAAAAAAAAAACAGAACCCATTGGAACGCGAAGAATGATGCATCGTCTTGACCCAACATTTGATGGTGGACGCGGTAAGAGAACGTGGACACGAAAGATTCAACTTCTTCTGTAAGGTCAAACACAAAATAAGCACACACGTACGAAACAAAAATAAAAACAAAGAACACACAAAATAAACACCAATCCTTTTGTTGGGGCGGCCACTCTTGTATTTCGTAGAAATAACGCTGAGTACTACTACCCCACCAATAGCACCACCCATATGACACACAAATTATAATTTTAAACCTACAAAATTAACCATATTCTATATACTTTATTAAATAATTTAATGACAAAGATTTATAATTATTACAAATATTTTTGAATAATTGAGTGTATTTCATGTAAATTTAAATAAATTGGCTAAAAACTAAAAGTGTTTTGAGATTTCTGAATGACGAGTCATTCTTGGAAGCAATAAATAATTAAAATTAAATAATAGCAATAATTAATATCACCAACTATAGAAGAATCACCCAAACCCAATCAATCACAGAGAAGTGAATCGATTCCGAAGCCCCACACGCCATTTATTTATTTATATAAAAACTCGTTTCCTTCTCCAACTCTCGCTCGCACCTTCTCTCGCGCTCTCCCCTTCTCTCTCTCTCTCTCTTTCTTTCTCTCGTTCGCGTTCATCGTCGCAAATCCGAAGGAGGATCTCTCTTGCTTTTTCTCAAGGTATACAAATGTTTCTATCATGCTATGTTCTTATCACGCGTCTTTTCGATCTGTTCGTGCTTATCCTTTTGATCTGAGTTGATTTGTGATTTCGATCTGTTTTAGGTTTTCGCGATGGCGTCCAAGCGAATTTTGAAGGAGCTTAAGGATTTGCAGAAGGATCCTCCAACTTCTTGCAGTGCCGGTATATGTTTTCCCCCATATTTTGTGTTTTCATTTTTTTTTTGTTCAATTATGTGGTGTTTGTTTGTCCTTAGCGATTTAGATTTATGTTTGGTCATGAAGAAGCTCCCTGATTCTGTTTATTTAGTTGTATTTTTTTATGCTGTAACATTATTGTTGAAAATTTTTTGTCTTCGGTTTTTGGTTGAGATTCGCTTCAATCGGTTGTGGCGAATATCGTTTGAGATTGGTCTTACTGCCCCTTTTAGATTAGAGCAGTGTTTGGTTGGTTCCGTGTTTCTATGATTTCAGGAGGCATGCCTGAGCTGCAGACTTATTGCGGCATGATGATGCTGAAGGAGAAATAATTGGGGGTTTTGTGGTATTGATTTTTTATATGGACCAAAAATATTTTTATTTTTTTTGTTTCTTTTTAGGATGTAGGAATAGGATTCACACTCTCCAACCTCTCCCTATGAATGTCTTAAATTTCATTCACTATTCAATATTTCCTCTTAATATTATTTCCTGGATCATGCGTCTGTTGGCTGCTCTGTGTTTTATGACAAAATTATGCAATAAATTAAATTTAGTTTAATTTTGTATATTGTTACTGGAATGTCGTCCAAACGTTATCAAATCTGCAATATATATATATTATGATCATGGATATTTCAAGGACCAAACTTGATCATGTTCCTTATGTCTTTGTCATCAAATTCCCAAATCAAACAATGATAGAAATAAATATATTTTGGAGGGAAAAGAAAAGGTGGTAAAATTTTATTTCTAATAAATATCCTTTAATTTAATATTCTTTTAAAACTAAAAGAAATAAAATTATAGGTTGGCATAAACTTAATTAAACTCTTAAATTATATCTGATAGGTTACTTAAGATCAATTTAATGCTGAACAAACTAGTCTTTGGATTATGAACATAGTTGGATAGAATGGTTGGATACTAACATCTTTGTGTTTGCATTTTAATAAAATAAAATAAAATAAAAAGTGATCCTTACATAATGCTTTGTCGTTTATTTCAAAACATTGTAGGTCCTGTTGCTGAAGACATGTTTCATTGGCAAGCAACAATTATGGGTCCTCCAGACAGTCCTTATGCTGGAGGCGTTTTCCTTGTGACTATTCATTTCCCTCCAGATTATCCCTTCAAGCCACCCAAGGTTTGTATATCATTTAGGTGTCTATTTTTATGTAGTGTTTTGTACCTTTATTTTCTTTATGTTTAATGTAATGGCATTTGCCTTTATTTTGTTGAAATTGTTTTTTTGTCTTTCAAAATACTCATTTCCCGATATTAATATAAAATTTATGCATGTATTGTTTTGAAAAGAAAAAAAAAACGAATTCTATTATTTCATGGTTTAGCTGAAAAACATTTTTAGAATTAAGTTCCTTTTGTACGTCTGAACATGTGTAGTCTGCTGTCATCAGCACTGTATAATCTGTTTTCTGGTGCATACTTATATGTATTGTGTTGGATCTTTCAGGTTGCATTCAGGACGAAGGTATTTCACCCAAACATAAATAGTAATGGAAGCATTTGCCTTGATATATTGAAGGAGCAGTGGAGCCCTGCTTTAACCATTTCCAAGGTAGGTTTGTTAATTTATCAATATACTAGGCAAGCCTTTCTTAAAATGTATTTCTTATTCTGCCAGTGCAATTTATCTCTGATGTTTGAACTAAGATGTGGTTAGCGATATCAACCTTGACCTGGGCAATTCTATTTAAGTTCGACTTTATTAGTTAACTATTGAGACACATCTTGAAATGGTTGAACTGCATTTATATAGGTATAACCCATACTTTTTAAGTTTTCAAAGATTATAATACATTTACGTAAACTTTACTTTCAAGATTTATTAGTATTAGTGTCATAAACTAAGCAATAAATAAATTTAGTTTTTACTTTTGATTAATAAATTAATATACTAATAATGAAACATTTATAGTTCATCCATTGAGTTTGTTAGTTTTATTATTATAATATTATAAAATATAGTAACATTGATTACTTAAACAATCTGTAAAATTTAACAAGTAAAAATACTAAATAAAATACAAATAAAAAGACACAATAACTAGAAATTAAGGTGACTTAGTGGTCAAGCCGGACTTGTTATACAGAGGACCTGCTCTTACATCATTAGTTTGAAAATTAAAGCATTTTTTAGACAAGCCAGATCACCTTGATTCAACTGGTTTGACGAGGCTGGTCCTGGTTTGACTGGTTCACGACCAAACGCGTTCATGACCATCCTTGTTCAACTTCCCAACACTAGTAGTACTACTAGTCTTTGTCTGTATATAATGTTCTTGCGTCTTGAAGTTTGAATGTCCTCTTCTGATCCATATAAACCTTGGTTATCATTGTTGTAGTTGAAATTAAATTTTCTGTTTTGCATCAAGTTCATAATGTGATTGGTTTTTAGCCAATCCCCCATTCAGGGGTTGGCGATTCCAAAATATTTAATTCGGCATCGTTGCTTACTTTGTTTCTATTGCCATCTTTAATTTGGCATCTTTGCTTACTTCGATTGTATTGGCATCTTTAATTTGGCATCTTTGCTTACTTTGTATTGACATCTTTAATTTGGTAGCTTTGCTTACTTTGTTTGTATTGACATCTTTAGGTGTTGCTCTCAATTTGTTCCCTGTTGACGGACCCAAATCCCGATGATCCTTTGGTCCCTGAAATTGCCCACATGTATAAGACAGACAGGAACAAGTATGAGTCAACTGCAAGAAGCTGGACCCAGAAATATGCCATGGGCTAATTGACATGGAGAGCGATTTTTAATTTCAGTGTCTAGGCCTAACAGCCTTGTATGAATATTTGTGAACCCAGAAATATTTCTTCTGTTTGTATTGCAAAATGCAAATGCTACTTCTAAAACAGTGAAATGTAGCCCCAATTAAAAATTTGTCAAAATTTTAACCTTGTATTGACAGCATCGTTGCATATTCAGAGTGTTTGGTTTGCTGTGTTATTATGCACTAAAACAACCATTTATTGAAAATCAATGAATTGGATAACTATATTGCGGTCTTGATGGATTTCTGTCTTTATTTTCAAGAGTGAATGGGTATTGAATAACTATATAGCCCCAGGTCTTAATTGCATAGCTATGCTTCAAGGTGTAATTAATAATCATGTTCATACTTCAGTTTCTGTCGAAGAAAATTTATCTGCCTTTGGTATTGGATAACTATATAGCTTCAAGGCTTGAATGCCCAGATTCTTTTAAGGACACGAAGCCAACAATTATCACCATAATTCCTAATGGGAATGTTCATCTGTTTTCTTTCTGACTATTCAGACCAATTTCTCTTTGAATTGTTGTTTGTAAGAACATCAAAAAGTGTTAGGTATCGTAGGATAGAATAAAATGGCCCCTTGTGAGAGATAAGTCTAGAAAAATGGTTGATCTTATGTTCTAGTGTATTTCTTTAGGGTGAAAGAGAACAGTGAACTGCTTAATCTTTTCTATTAAGAAAAGGGTTTACACCAAGAGGACCTTTATTTCCCTCTCGCTCTGTGCTATGTGCATGCTGGACTCATTGTATAGAAGATATATGGAATTGCATTTCTAAAGGGTGAGGTGGTCCGATGATTTTTCATATGTTCTTTATAAACGATTTGGTGCTGTTCTCATGGTTCTTTATCAGTTTGTATTGCCTTGGGCAAGCAGATTAACTATTGAGAAATCCTTTAATTTTTGAAAATCAGCTCTGTTGCCTTATCTAATGAGATCATTTATGGTCTGAATTTCGTTAAACTAATGATTTTGGTTGGTATGTGGGGGTCAATTATCCACAGAAGGAACAAGATAATGACTTTGGTAGGGTATCTCGGGGTCTTGAAAAGTTAAGAAAAAGTTTGCTAGTTCGAAGATGAATAGCTAATCTTACAAGAAGAGTTAGTTTGGCTAATTATGCCATTCAAACTTCAATCATGCCTATTGAAGTCTTTTAAGAGATCGATAAAGCTTGCAGGGAAAGGATCTTAGTTGGGACTGTACTCAAAGATTTCAGAAGTGAAAGTTTTGGAAGAATTTGTTGTGGGCGTTATATCTGGTTTTGGAAGGACCCTTATAATCCTTGTTTGGGACCTCTGTATCAGCATGCTATTAGTAATCATGTTCCCTTATAGCAGGAGAACGTGAATATTTGTGTCCATGCTAATTATGGTGTTTGGCGTTTGGAAGTCCTCCAAAACAAAGGCTTTTGGAAAACCTCCCACTGATTCCGGAAATGATGACTCACACACCCTTAATTTCTATTGCCACTCCCCAGCATTATAAAATTTAATTTACTTTTATATCCCTAACAAAAATATGACCTTTTTTATTATCAACGAGAAGGAATAAATAAAATTGCAGTTCTTTGATTTAGCTTGTAACCAAGTAAGTAATATTTATTTATTTTTGTTTTGTTGCGTCATGCAGGTGTGGTGGTGATTGGAAAATGTTAACATACACAACAAAACCAACATCTCTTGCTTCGAAGAGAAACGAATAAAATTTAACATCATTAATTAATGTTATAACTATTAGTTATTAATTAATTTGAATCTCATCACTTGCAGACTTTGTCTTTCCATGGTTGATTGTGATATTAAGACCGACATGATACTAAAGCTTCAAAGTTCTGTCACAAATGGCCCTTCTTTTCATAACAGATCTTCTACTTTTCATTACTTTATGTTGCCCAGTTATTACTATTAGTAAGAACTAGAAATGCGAAAATTAAACTAAAATACACATAATTTACCACTTTAATTTATCATTTTAAATAAAATAAAAGTAAAATATTATGATCAAATTAATTTTTTACAAATTTAAAGATTATATCAAAACTTTTATGTACCACGGGTAAAGCACGAAAATGTTTAAAGAGATTTAGCATTATTTTAAATTTGTATGTACAAGGAGGAATTACACTTAAAATGTTTCATTATAAAATATTACAATAATGTGGAAGCTATCGTATATATTATTGGATTGAAATTATAAAGGTTTTAACTTAAAATAATCATATATTTTTTTACGTGAATATATTTTTCTAGAAAGTTTTATTTACAAGTTATAGTGTTCATTGATTGACAAACTTTAGTATAATACTGATACGTGGAGTGAATATCACATAATCATCTCATCACGTAATCTTAAAAATCTTACTATAATCAAGAATCAAGATATTTTATATGCATAATTATTAAGATCTAAGTCCATCATAAGATATTTCTAAATTTAGGTTCGAGGCAAATTTTTACTGAATTAAAACTAGTCCATCTTTTTTCATAATTTAACATTCAAAATACTCACAGTAATATCTACTATAACTTATTTTACAACTGATAGAAATAAAAGCAAGACATGAATAGTTATCTAAAGAGACTATTTCTAAAAATAAGTCTTCTAAGTCTTATACTTCTTATTCTCAAAAGATAAGTTCCATACAAGATTTTGAATATTTAATTTATGGACACTTTTATAAATATTGTATCAAGATAATTATAATATTGAGAGAAGGAGAAAAAGGTGGATAGAGAATATTTTTCTTCACGTTTTCTTTCTTCCTATCTTTCTCATAATGATGAGTTTATTATATGTTGTAAAAGATAATTATTATGGTTAGATGGATGTTTGGTTATTTCCAAAAAACTTTCAATACTTATAAATATAAAATATTTTTCGTATAAGGTGACTAATGAATAGCAAGTTTTATTATTTAATGAAGAAAGTAACAATAGTCAAATAGTCAAGAAACTATGTAAGTTGCAATGATTGAATAGAAATAAAAAATCTTAATAAGTAAATGGTCATAAATATAAGATGAAGTTTTATGTGATATTTTGTTGATATATACATATTTTACGACAATTTGATAAAAAAATTATATGATATCAATATAATTTTTTAAATTTTAATGATATATACAATATTACAATAAACTTTTATCTCAAATAGAAGTAAATGAGGACCCGTTAAAAAAAATTAAAAAAATAAGTAATCTATGAAAACAAAAAGAAAAAAAATACTTTTTTATTTCTTCAAAGTTCAAAATAAATTTTTCAGAATATTTTAAAAATATACAAGATTAGATGTTGTCATAAAAGATTTTGAAAATATTTTAAAGATATACAAAAGGGGTTAACACCTCTTTCAAAGATTAAACATTAAACACTAATATTGAAAATAACAAGAAATCTATAAGTAAAAAAATTGATTAAAAAGGGTGAGTGTAAAATAACATGAGTCCATATGATATATATATTAACTATCTTATCCTTAGAAACTATGGTAATTGGTGTATGTGTTTGAACTTTCATGTCATCAATAATATTAAAATCAATTAGACATTTTATTCTAAGATTTGATAATACTTGTTCAATGAATGTTGGAAAATTAATAATTATAATAATAATAATAATAATAATCTTGATTTTGATTCTAACGATCAAACATAAACGTAATATGTTGTAAACTGAATGCGAATGCGTACTCGAATTAGCCATAATGATGATGTCTTTGTAGAGTATTATATTGATCTTATGGTCTTCCACCTGAAGAGCATCTGTATTTTCCTCTTGATTTTCTCTCTTGATGGGGATAGAAAGAAAGGAACATAAATGAAACTTACGTTCTGTCTACGTGCTCCCATAAGGGGACCATGACCCCTTAAAATAACCAGAATTATGTTAATTACTTAAGTTTTAGTATTTCTAATTTGACCCCTCATCAAATTAGAAATTGTTCTATGGTCTCTACACAATTTTATTTTCATGACATATGCCTTTAGCCAAACTTTTTAATTTAGTCAGATCACTTTATTATTTGGCTTAATAAATAATGGCCCTAACACATTTAAATTATGTATCATATATATACATGACCCAAAATTTGCCAACAATCTCCCACTAGTCACAAATATATATGTCCTTACAACCTTACAAATGTGTTAGACTTTATGAGCTCAAAATTGTCATTATATTCCTTTAGCATACTTCAAAAATCATGTCAATTAATCATATCAGGATATAGAACCAAACCAGTTTTTTATTACATCATCGCAACTAAAACCAACAATGATTACTCATCCTTACATAACCAAATGACATGGATTCATCATGAAATGTGTAGCATAAAAAATTACGTGAAGGTGATCTATACACGTCTATTTTCAACTGGTCCAAACTTTAACTTATCGAGATCGATATAATATCTTTAATGTACAAAGTGTAATGAATGAACAAAAAAATTGCATATCTATAGATAACCAAATATGTCCAAAAAATTAATGTATACATATATGAAATTAAACATAGAACATAAAATATATGAAAGTGACTAACTCCCACTAAACTACAAATTCCTCAAACTGTAAAACACTCATGTGAGTAACATGCTCATGAAAGACCTTGGGCGGAAGTCCTTTAGTTAGAGGATCTGCTATCATGGAGTTTGTCCTTAAGTGTTCTATGAAGATCTGTCCACTTTGTACTCTTTCCTTAATAATACAGCTGATTTATTGTCACAATATAACTTAAGTGGTCTTTCAATGCCTTTCACAATTTGCAGTTTTGTGACAAAATTTCTCAGCCATATTCCATGATTTGATGTCTCATAGCATGCTACAAATTTTGTTGCTATAGTGGATGATACTGTAAGGGTTTGCTTGACATTGCGCCAAGAAACCGCACCAACTGCCAACATGAAAATGTAACCTAAAGTGGATTTCAAACTATCTTGACATCCTGCAAAGTCTGAGTCAG